CCCGCCGCCTGCCGACCGCTCGGGGGTCCGCTCAATGCCCCGGATGCCTTGCAGGCTATTGAAGCATGGCTGCTCATCGTGCGGACAGCTGTGCTCATCGTGACAGACGATGGCAAAGATAATGAGCATGCCGTGAGCAAAAAATCATGATAAATTTCGGAAAAAATTATTGATTATGCAAATCACTAAAGCTAGTAGCTATCGGAGTAGATAGATATACATCAAGTATAGTATAAGTCATAAAAGATGGTCAAAATTATACTGATTACTAAGGGATGAGAATTCATATGGGATATTGGATGGTTTAGGCTAGGGCTATGGTTAGAGTTAGGGTTAGGGTTAGGGTTAGGGTTAGAAATCAACATCATAATATACATCAGTAAATCAATCCAATTTTACAAATACACATTGATAATGACTCTGTGATTTTCGTTAAATATTGTATGCCCTCACAGCATCTCGTTCACCTTTCAGTGAGTGCTAAAGTCAACACTATACCAAGTTAGTGCTTTATTGTAGTTAATGTCTGAACAAGCTTATATGTGTTCATTGTTTCCAACAAAATCACAAATGCCATTTAATGATATATAGCCATTGAATAATCTTGCTGCTAAAGTGCAGGATATGATCAACACGATTTGGTCATACACAATGACTCTGGTGCTAAAAGACATATCTCAGTTCAACGTTCAGAATGCATCTGCATAGGTTGCACAGGTGGTATTCCCCAGTTTATCTCTTGTGCACTGTGAATTTCTTATACATTGCCGCAATGTCATATTCCCGGCATCCGTATCCATGCAACCGTACATACGCATCCGTATCCGTGCAGCGTATGGAAGCAGCCGTATCCACGCATGCGTCAGAACTTGTCCGTGCCCTTGCACCCGTTGACGAGGCATCCGCACTCAGGTTCACGGACATGTACATCCATATCCATCCATCCGCTATGTGCGGCTGTCCGCGGCGTCCGTGTCCGTCCCCCGCACGGCCGATGTAGAGAGAGCTTGCCTTTCAGTTAGATTTCCAGGCCCAGTAGAGGTACAAGAGCAGCTTACCATAGTCCTTGAGGCATAAGATCATTCATGATGTCTGAACAAGGGATGGCTGTGATCATTGTGTTTACTCTATTGTTCCCAGAACAATGGGATCAAAGAATGCAAATTTCTCAAAAGGCCAAGGTCGCATCCGGGATGTATGTCTCTTCTTTCCCACCACCATGGCCTATCTCGATTTTGTGGACCTTGCTGTCAATTATGCACTGCACCATGCTGCAGGCAGTATTACTACAGCTCCACCTATTGAACCCGGCTTGCTCAGCGAAATTCACCATCTCATTGACAACGTACATGCTGCTCAGCAGAATATAAGTGAGACAGATATACTCACGGCTATATAGTGAGCATAGCTGATGAGGTTCACAGTAAAAATTCCGTGGGATATTTGGACATATGATGGAGCAGTGGGAGGGAAAGATGGAGTAAAAACAGGGCTGGAAGAAATATTGAAGAAACAGTTCATACCTGTCAATCTCAGTATTGACCGGGCTGCAGTACTGGAGGATGAAAAGTCACATGCACTCATGTACTATCTGCCACATGTACTGATAGAGGAGCGCCAGGTACCCCACTCAGCTCTTCTGATAAGCACCCTGTAGCTCACATACAATCAGGCTTCTATTGCAGCCACTATGTCAACATTGGGCCCAACATTGCGGGAGCACGGAAGGCCGCATGCGGGCGGCGGCAAAAAGTCAGCAGCCGCATGGCGGGATGCGGAGAGGTTATTTCTCGCAGCCCAGAAGTGCAAGAACTTCGGCAGAGGCAACATTACGGCCTCTCCTGCCTGGCACTCCCAAGGGAATGAGGTATTTTCAATGGTTAACAATACACTATGCAGTTCTGATGTCCATATAGCAATTTGGTGATCCTCTGTTTGTATCCGCGCACTTCGGACGGACGGACGCGGGCATGCGGACACGGACACGGACGAAAAAGGGCAAGAAAAAAGTATATCTGAAACAGGAGACAGAAGGACAACTAGCTTTTCAAGCTTTTGTTCGAGAGCATCTAGAAATGGGATGTCTTGTCTCTGTTGCTCTAGCCCTCACCCATCCCGAACAGTACGCGTACACCAGAGCAACTTTGCAGAAGTTGGATTCCCTCGCCGGTATCTGTGACCGTATCCGGGAGTGGGCATTCTGCTTCAATGTTCTCACTGTGGTGGCGAATAGGGAGTCCCTCACACACAGAGATCGGAGAAGTGGTGGAGTGGAGTACTACGATCTCCTTCTCACAGTAGGTGGAGATCCTGGCACAGTTCTCGAGTTGCCCGGACTCGGTGTCCGCCTTCAATACAACTCAGGCACGATGGTTTTGTTCTCCGGCCATACAAATCTGCATGGAGTCAGTCGCTCTACGGAGGAGCGTGTCTGTCTAGCATTTTATGTGCGGCAGTCGGTGCAGCGGGCATGCGGCATCCGCATGCCCGAGCTTCCATCCATTGAAAGGTCATCGCACCACATATATTGGGCCAATTATATCCTGCAAATGCGGACCTGGGCATCCCAGTAGATTGTCAACTATAGAGATGCTAGAGCTCCATACACAGATTCAATGAGACAGTTAACAGACATGGACAATTTGGGCCAACTACATGCTGCCGTCGAGCAAAAAGACACAGACAGTTACTTGTTATCATTCAGTTAGGGGTCAACCTCCAAGACGACTAGCCGCAACAAGTAATTCAAATCCACAAGGTGATCACTTTCCATACGTCCGTAGCCGTGCCGCCGTCTCCGTCTCCGTCTACCGCTCCCGTGCCACCGGCTGCCGCACCATTATCAGCTCGGTCGATGTCTTCTCGATGTCAGACGCCGAGTAGTTCCCCACCCTCGCCAAATCCTCCTTGAGCTTTGAGGGGATATCAACCTCAGGATGCTCACGAAGGTAGATACAAACCAGCTCCAGCTCCCTCCTAGTGACCTCCCTCTCCAGTGCATGCCCATACTCGTCATTATGCTCGGCGAGGGAATTGATTCCAACAATGAGAGCTTGAAGTTCACCGACAAGGGCTGTGGCAGTTGACTGCGAAGGAGAACCCCATTTCTATTTCAAATGTTACTCCGCAGTGGATAGATTTCAAATAATAGAACATACCTGTAGCTGAATGTAAAGTTCTCCTGCAGTATGTGCAAGGACATTGTCATTATGCCCCTTAAGATTTTCCTCTGGGTTATGGTACCACTCGGGAATGCCTGCAGGTTCTGGGCCGATCGCAAGGGCGAGATGGATGCGGAAGAAGCAGCACACACGCCAGAGGCCTAATGAGACTCGAATGGGCTCATTCGCATCATCCATGAGCAATAGACGATGTTCGTAAGCCATCTGGTGAACCAATTCCACGCCCAGATCGCCAGGATCTACGAATGATTGATACAAAACCCGTAAGGGTCCCATGGGAGCAATGCCTTCAATTGCCATAAAGCCGCTGAGCTGCTTGATATGTGCCTGTGAAGGGTAGTAGTACCATATCCCTATGTGATATGAAGAACACCCACTTGCTCAATCTGCATCCCATACTGTAGTAAGCTCCGTGATTGAGTGCGGGAGTCGGGTGTAAGGGATCGAAGGACAATAGATGGGTTGAGATCGAGCACGATCTCATTGATTCTTGATGCAATGAACGACCACTCGGCAGCAGCTAAAGTTTCGCGGGGAGGCGTAGATAAGGCCATGGTGGTTGCACAGTAAGTTCCTGTGACAGTTTTCGAAGCCTTACTGCGTTATCATGATCGATCAGTGATAACAAACTGCATGTTGGACAGCAACATCCACCATGAGCCCCAATGTATATCCTCAACTTCAGTTCTGGGATATGATGATTGCACAATTCCGCTCTGCAGTTTTGCATTTCGACCCTGCTGGTTACCATGTAGATATACAGAAAGCATTTTACTCTGAGCTGGTAAGCTTCTACACTTCCACATAACACAGTGCACTGACAACAGCAGCGCTTCTTACGTGCCGTAGTAGGCGACAGCCGCTTGCGATATGGAGTCCTTCCTCCCGTCTCCGAGTTTATGAGAAGAGCACAGCATACTATTGTCAATGGTCCGGAGGGCGATTGGGTCGGCTTACGGAAGGCGGCAGCGGAGGCGCGGAGGGCCGGGGACGCGGAGGCGGATGCCTCTGTCGGCTGGACAACCTCCGCCTTCCCAGCATGGTGGGAACAATATGACCACGCATTCATGTTAACGGGGAAGGGAAAGGGAGAGACAACGTGGGACACGTGGGATCTTTGTGAGTACATCGCAACGAAGTCTGGTAACGAGCTGGGCCTGCCTGTGAGTATGGTTAATATTTTATGGATACAGTGTATAACTATCAACAGGAAGATGGGCCATTAGAGGGCAATCTTGCAAGTTTTATGGCCACCATTGCACACTTGCACGCTGAGATACACAGCCTCCATCTCGCGCAGACCCGTGAGACAACATTTATTGCGCGGATGGAAGAAGAGATGGGAGCGGCAGTTGTTGCGGAGGCCGGACGCGGAGCGGAGGCTGGACATGCTGTGGATGCGGGACGGGTTGCGGATGGTGGAGCGAATGCAGCGATGTGATGCCATAACAGAGTATATCATGTTCTGAACGCGACAGTGGCCTCAACCTGGACTGGAAACACACATGGTATTACTGACAGGTCATTACTTTGCCTACTACTACCAAAGGGTTCTTTTGAACGAATGGTTTGGGAAGTATGTAGATATATATGTTAGGCAGTTCTATGACAAATCTGGAGCAGAAGGCAATGGTTGTTTGGGGACCTTCTTCCTTACCATGCGTGGTTTTGGACGTGAAGATTTTGGAGGTGGTTCAGAAGCAGTAACAGGGTTAAGGCTAACCTCCACTCGCCGTTTTTTAGAGACCGGCCTTCTCTCATAAGCTCCAGCATCGTCAACGGAAGGGGGGGGATGAGTCGGAGGCCCGGATCCATGAAACCGTGATGTGACTTTCTTTGCATGCTGGCTTCCCCTAGTCCTAGTCGCCACTGACGCAGCACCATCCGCACCTCCAGCCCCCGTCCCCGCAACCCCCGCGTCTCCGTCTACCGCATCTGACAATGAGCTGTTGACATAATGGTCGTCACTTGATTCATCACTGGATGGCTCCTCTGCTCGCTTGCGGTCGCTTGGCTTTGGCCGTTTGTCCTTCTTGAGACGCTTCCGAGTTCTGGTTGGGGCTGCCGTGTTCTTTACGGTCTTTGTTGATAATGCTGGAGTGGGGCCTTTTGCGAGTGGCTGATACATAGGGGCACGTTTGCGCTTGACAACCCCCACCGGTGCGGGTGTTTCATCGGCGTCTGAGTCGCCATAGGACACTAGCACATCGAGAGTGGGTGGCAGTTCCAGATTCGCAGTGGCACGTGGAACGGGGGGTTTTGATGGTTTGACTTTACTGCCATAGCGAGCAAGGTTTTCCAAGCGGCTGGCATCACGCACTCGACGGTTCTCCAGTGCACGGTCCTGTGTACGTTGATGGAATGCAAATGCCAACTGTTGTGCCTCCTGAGATGCGGTGATCGGACCTCGCTGTGCATGATTGACATAATAGTCCAGCACAGAGTCATCACGGAGTGAGGAAGAAGCAAGTCCAGCATATGTATGATCATTATGCGGGGCAGCAGATGATGCCCTTGATGGCATACGGGTTGCAGGTAACCCCACCAGTCCGCCAAGCGAGCCACTCAGAGACCACGGCGAAGCAGGCCCACCCACAGACGAAGGTGGAGGCACAGTAGAGGTTCTGGAAGGTAGGGCCGAAGCCGTTGCGGAGACGGACAAGGACACGGACGCAGACTCAGTTGCGGGCGCGGGCAAATGGGCGGTCGGGAGAGCGGATGCGGGCGCGGGCGCGGCTGCGGTGTTCGGGTCGGAGGCGCGTGCGGGCATGCGGCCAGGATGATATGTAGCATCGAGATCTGGAAGGATGTCGTCGATGTCGGGAAAGTCAGATTGCTGACCATTGGGCAAGAGTCTCAAGACCTCAAGGGTGCTTTGAGCCCAAGACAAAAGGTGATCGGCGACTACAGCAGTTTTACCCCTTAGATTGGAGGTGGAAAGTTGTCTTGTGGCGTCGTGATAACCTTGCTCGAAGTTCTCGATGTCGGCAATTATGCAAGCAATGCCAAGTAGGTGGAGAAGTGCAGCCTCCCTGTCAATTGGAGTGCCAGAGTCGGGATTGACAAGGTTCCCCTTCTCGCCAATAAAAGCTATCAACTTGTCGACAATCTGAGCATCGGCATGCATCGCCACAGGAAGGCCACATCTCAGAGACTGCCAAGATGGAAATGATTGAACAGTCGCAAAGGTACAGGGATTCGGGGGATGAAGAGTAGGCTATAAAATGAATATTAGCAGGCTAAATCAGACACCACACCATTTAACTGCTCACCAGCTTCTCGACCTCAGACAGAATGTCAATAAGGTCGTTGTTCAGCCAGAAAACGGAGTACAAGTACTGCTGCCGTGATTGCGAAGTTGCATACTTCATGGAGGGTGCAATTCCCGGATACTCATGACGTGTAGACATATCTCGCAGGTAATCGCGAAATTCTTTCAACAACTGCTTGAACTCTGCCGAGAGACGTTGTGACTCTTCGTGTGGGTAAGGCCCGCTGCACGACAGAAGACAGAGAGCAAGGAGGAAGCACCATGCCATCTGTATGCCAGAGAATAGACTCTCTCCGTTATGCATAAAGCACCACGGTCTTGCCAGGACATATGCAATCACGGAGGCACGGACGGCCGGCTGTGTGAGGCCATCAAAGGTGTCCGTCTCCCATGACACGGCTGGTGGCAGTGCCGGCGCCCGTCTTCCGTTCCGAAAGCTCGATGTACTGTAGTTGTGGTTCCGGACCAGCTGCATGCGTAAGTTCTATGTTAAGCGATTTGAAACACAGATGCTTACCGGCAACTCAGCGAGGAAAGTCACACACCGCTGAAATAGACCGGCGGGAAACAGGAGAGAGTCACCATGACACTCCGTAAAGGCGAAGCACCACTGAGCTTGCGCCTCGACGTTGAATGGAACGCCTGCGGGAACCACAAGCCCACCCACTTCTGCATGGGAGACCACCAGGTCGTCTGGATCTGGAATCTCAACGTAGATTGGTGCACCAGCAAGTCGATCCACATCCCAGGCCTGGGTGTTGTGGATATTGATGGATTTAGAACTACCAAACCTGCTCGTAGTGAGAGAGCCGAGCAGTCCGGCCAATTGACGAGGGAGCTGGGATTGAATAGTTGATGAGAGCCCAAGTGTGGAAGCTGGGTTTAGAGTGATGGGCATCGGGTGGTGGTGCATGGAGGCCGGGCCAGACGGTGGTGCGGGGCCGGAGACGCGGGCGTTCACGGATGCGGAGCCGGATGCGGAGACGGATGCAAAGACAGATGCGGAGACGGATGCGGAGGGTGTCTGACCACGGCTGGTGTTATCAACCTGCACACCAGCATCAGGAATGGGGCCAGGGGCTGCGGCAAGCGCCTTGTCGCGGGCACGGATAAAAGCCACATCCGTAGGATCTCCAGGGTGTTCAGCCCAGAACCGTTCGTTCTCAGGGACAGGCACCTGCGGCTTGCCGTTGCACCTTTTCCAGTGATGAAACTCAATGTGCCCGATGTCAAAGAGCCAATTCAGGAGTTGCAGACATTCTTCGATGGATAGGTGGTAAGGTGGCTTCATGACAAAGTTCGGAGGAAAGTACTTCCGATCGATGAGTACACCATTGCCATCGGTGTCTGTCCGACCGATGTCAGACCATGGGGTCTCCAACTCTTGTCCATGGTAGGGAGAGAGGTTTGCTGGAACTTCTTCAGCCTTAAATCTTGATGTTGCGACTTCGGAAACTCACCATGTGCAATATTGAATATGTAATAAACAGCGCACTTGGCCTCTCGCCTTAGAAGATCGCTACGGTATGCGCCCTTCCGCAAGATAACACAGTTGCGATTGTGGTAATCGTCTGCATGGATGACATAACCTTTCATCTCGTCCATAGCGTGCTTTGTCTTCTTTGTCTGCTTGGCTTGAACTTCTCCGGTCCCTAAGGGATCTGATGTCAGTAAAATTTACAACGAGATGAGCCAGCCACAGGACTTGAGAATGACGGTGCCAAGCCAGGATGTTATGTACATGCACAAGATCGACAAGGAAATGATCAATGGACACGGATAGTGGATGCGGATACTGGACGCGCGAAGGGCACATGGGCGCGGACACGGGCACGGCAGCCAAACGGTGACGGACACTGGGCGCGGATGCGGACGCGGATATAAAGGACATGGCAATCGGTGTGGAACATAAGGCATGATCGCAGGTTCGATGCTCTGATGCCCCCGCACAAGGCTGAGACGTACCAACTGGATCATTTACAAATCCCTTCAGCCGGACAAGGGTGTCTTTCATTGGTGTATGGTCAGGGTCGAACCTCTTCTCCCCCAGGCCGAGTTCTTTCGAAAAATCGAGGCTACCAGGGGCTCAGCTGCATTATATTACATGGTCATGCAGAACATCTTACAACTTAGCAGGTACACTGACTGTTGGCTCCGGTACATAAAGGAACCACGTGTAAATGCCATATAACTTGAGGTTCTTGACAGCCTGGTTGAACATCTCGCGCTTGGCACTCCTCAAAAACTTCCTAAACCAGAGTTAGAGGTTGATAATGGAGTAAATAGTGACATACCTTTTCTTCATCTCCTTCGGCAAGCCATTTTTGTTCCATTCATTTGCCAAGAACTCAACTTGAGTACGTTGACCATCTGACAGTGAGTAGTACAGTGCTGTGTTGGCCTTGTTATACTTGCGCAGCCAGTACTGATGTCCATGTTGGATTCCAGCGACCTCGTGCACCATTTGCGCGGCGATGTGTCCGTAAACGTCACTGCAAACCGACAGAGGATCCCAGTCAAGCTTGTTGCTGCCCTTCCTTAGCGGCTGTACGACGACGTCTCGAATTCGACCCTGCTCTTTGAAAAAGTTCTTCACCGCCTATTCATATAAGTCAGACTGGGAGTAAGATCTCAGATGACTTGCGGCCGTAGGACGCGTACTCGCACCCGGCCTCCGCCGGCCGCCCTCCATCCTCCGTGTCGGTGCGAGCATCCGCGCCATCCATGTGACCGAGCCGACAAAGCATGAACACGTACCTGCTTGACAACGTGGAATCGGCGATTGCTGGTCTTTGAAGGCCACAACTGAGGTAGGTCCCATTGGATCTCTTCGCCATCCCATATATCACAGAAGGCCTATGTAGATCAAGAGGTCATCCATGTGTTCGTTCCTTTGTCAGAACTCACGCACCTTCAGAACAAAGTCGTTCTTCTCCTGCCCATCAAGTGTTACATAGTCGGTTACCAAAGGTTCAAGTGCACGGAATTGTACTGCAGTGAGGAGGTTGCTAGTAAGAACCTTGGGAGCATGCTCCCCATAGGTCTCATCTACCACCAGATCCTCTTCGTCGTCCATAACTGAGAGGCCGATGATGGGGGGAAGCAGGAAGGAGTCACCTATGCAGGCTGCGTCAGCCAACATTTGATCCGTGTTGGCCGGACTCACTGTCAATGGAGGTTGCATGGCAACCCATTTGGGCTATCAAGGCAACAGCTTCAGCAAATCATCGGTTCCAGGTCCGCAGTGGGAATCAGACAGTCTCAGTTGTATCACCAATCTGTCATAGCCTTAGTCAAGACCGGCTACGCCATGGGCCTGTCCCCTTCACTCACAATAGCGGTAAGCATGTCAATTGCGAGTCGTAAGCCTTGTGTGCATAAGTCTGCCCCGCTATCCCTCGTGTGTCTCCCTGGTGTGCCTGCGCGGGTACACATATATCTGGAATATATGCGAATCATTCAATGCACACTGTGTATGTTGACTGGAACAGGTACAACACCAGTTGTTTGAAGAGTCTGCATGAACTGCCGCAGGTGCGGATGCCACGGATGCGGATGTGTCCACTTCTACCATTGAAATGTAACAGACGTATCATAAGGCAGTTTTTGTATCTCTCTCAGCCCAATGACAATAGGGCCCTACTTGAGGCCTTTCACACGTACAGCTGCCCTGTCTGAGCTGTACAATAGGTTGTCTGTTTTACTGATATCTCCCTCTCGGAGAAAACTGTGTGTCTACACATGGGTGCGTGGATTGTTTTACCATCAAGCACATACCAGGCCTTGTTCAATGCTAAAGTTCATGCTGTGCATTGCAGGGCTGACCAACGAGTGTCTAATGCCTATGTTGGAAGTTGATGGACAGTGGGGCGAGCATTTGTGAATACAACTGAATGGTCAACCCAATTCCGTAGCATGTCCCGATCTGCTGCTATGTGATTCATTGCCACTCAAGTAAGGCGAGACGTGGTGCTACAGACTGTAGTTCACGATTGGAACAACACTTGACTGCCCATTTGATTGTGCAGTTGAATGCTCCTATCCCAGGTTACTCAAATGCATGCCAATACAGACAGTATGCCCGAGTCTGTGAAGACCCGGATGAGCATCGCATTAGAAGAAGATTGCATTCGTCGGTCCTAGCATTATGTCCTAGATAGTCGAAAGGAGGGACAGTATGAAGTGCACCGAGATCCAGCTTGATGCACCTCGCTCTGCAACAGTCCTGTACATCCGTACAACCGTTCCATTACCATGTATTGGGAAGGACATTCATAGAATGACTTGTAACTCTGGTACAACTGGTACAGAAAGGATTGACATGATGCGGATGCCGCAGCATCCGCAATCAGTAATCAGCCCGTACAACTATCAGTATACAGTTGTATGTATCGCGTACTCAACCATTTGCACCCACATACCTGCCCGCTTACAGGACAGCTCCTAGCACAAGATTTACATAGTCAGATCCGCCTGAACATGATGTGGTGGTCTGAAGCATCGACAATCGCCATGAAAGCAGACCGAACTCACTGAGCTTCAACCTCAAATGACCCTCGTGAAGCAACAGGATGGTATAATGCGATCTGAATGACGAAATTTTCTCTGAAACAAGTGGTCTTTGTCATGTCATCCCATACACTCAAAGACACATGCCTTGGGTCTGAATCTGGTACTGTATGGCTTCGACAAGTGTTGCGGATGCTGCGGATGCCACGGAGGTACCGCATGGGAGCATGGGAACTGGGAAGCTTCTGATCGCCGTTTGTTATCGATTAGAAGATGATGAGTCCTGGAAAGTTGTGGTTGCCAACACTCATCATCTCGCTTGTCTATGGCGGACCCCGACCCTATGTTGCTGTACCCCACGATACAACCGTGGACCGGGACGGTATAATGACACGATGTGACCGTGGACCGGGATCCAG